TTTTTAAACATGAAAAGATCAGACGCGGGGAAAAAAAATAATACAGGAGGAAGGGGGTGTAAAAATGCCAATTGCTGGATGAGGATGCTGGGAGGGCACCGGGCAACCCCCCCCCAGCACCCCTTCTGCCAGCGAAGGATGGGGGCACAAAATGCAACCCCCATCCTGGGCAGGAGGGGACAGAAAGGGGCAGCACAAAGCCAAGTCTGCAAGTAAAACCCCCTCCAGCATCGATACTGGAGAGTAAGGGGGGAGGCAACCGCCCCCCATCCCACCTTGCCACCACCGGCACCTCACCCACATCCAAAGGGACACCCCATCTCCGGGCACAGCTTTCAAAGCCAAACACACATCAAACCAGTTCTTTCCCAGCTGAAAAAATAATAGATGGGAGGAGGAAGGCAGGGAGGAGTTGTTCCTGGAGAAAAACCCATCCATGCTCCTGGTCGGCAGGCTCTCAAGGTGAGTTGGAGAAGGGCATCGCCAGCACCGCATGGTGTTTGAGTCGGCGTCTTCAGTGCCGCTGCTCCCAAACCGCAAAGTTGGCGAGTCAAACAGAAACCCCTTTTCCTCTCCTTCCCCTGGTTTAAGGCCGTGGTGACAACTCAGCCCCCACTGATCCCTTCTCCCCCTGTACCCAGGGCCGTGGGTGCTCACGAAAGGGCATAGGAGGCCGAGGGCCATCATCTGCAGGATCCTCGTGGAAGTGGAGGGGAGGGATCTGCCACAGGGGGACAAGGAGAAAGACGTTTCCCCTCCTCTCTAAAACACCCTTGGCTCCCAGGTTTTCCTTCATGCCATGTTACCCCCACTGTCAAGGAAGCTGAGCAGTTAAGAGGTCAAAATACAGCATCATGTAAGTGTAATAAACCAAAAGTACAGTTCTTGCTCTTAAAATTAATGACAAACTACATGCAAGTTACACGCCCCACCCCACCCCACACCCCCAACCAGCAGATAATCAAATTCTTCATAGCAAAGGCCAAGAGAAGTGAGTAAAATCAAAAACCTGCTTCCCCTCACCTTCCCGCTACAGACTGGGCAAGGGGAAGAAGAGAGACAAACACTCGGTATGTCCTGGATAGAGAAATATATTTGCTTCAGAGAATGTCTCCCCTATCTCCCCACCCCCTAAAACAAGACAGGGAAAACTAATCGTCATAAACGTAGGCCAGCTGAAGCTAAAAAAAAAAACAAAAAAAACCAAAAAAACAGACCTCTTCTCATCTGGAGTCGGCATCACAGAGCTAACATGGTACCCCCAGAAAGTGCATCTTTAGAGGAAAAAAAAATAAAATAAAAAAAAGGTTGGGGTGATGATGGCAGAGGAAGCAAGGGGGAGGCAGCCCCTGGAAGGGCTAGTTTCCCCGGAAAGCATTCTGTGCGGCTGAGGAGGCCACCCCAGCAGCTGCGTTCTGGAAGCCCCTGTTGGTGAGGATGCCTTGGGAAAACTCTTCCTGGGCCCTCTGGAAACTGGCTCCTGTGCGCCGATACAGGGAATGCACCTGGGAAACAGAAGGGGGGGGGGGAATAAAATAAAAAAATCAGCATGCAGTTGTAGGCTTCCCCGGAAAGCATTCTGTGCGGCTGAGGAGGCCACCCCAGCAGCTGCGTTCTGGAAGCCCCTGTTGGTGAGGATGCCTTGGGAAAACTCTTCCTGGGCCCTCTGGAAACTGGCTCCTGTGCGCCGATACAGGGAATGCACCTGGGAAACAGAAGGGGGGGGGGGAATAAAATAAAAAAATCAGCATGCAGTTGTAGGCTTGCTGCACACACCTTGCCTGCCAGCTTGCTTTTCCTTGTCCCAGTCACTAACCAGCTGTCTTGGCAGCTGGAAAGGATGGGCTGGAGCCATTGGCTCCATCTCACCCAACATGTGATGCTGCAGATTTCAGGAGACTCTCATTTGTTGTAAAATGCAGAGCTCTCGGCAAAATGGCAGGGATCAGACCAAAAACTCCTCTCCCTGCACTGTGATGTTATCGACACTTAACCCCTGCATTTACAGACACTTGCAGGGCGGGACCTGAAGGTGCCTGCATCTACAAAGCATCAGGTACAACTTAGGAGAAAAGGAGGAGGAAGCAACAGAAACAGGACCAGTTCAGCCTGTCCTTCCCTTCCCCAAAGCCACATTTCTGCTCTTAATTGCAGAAATGCAACCCTCATGTGGTCAGTCAGAAGGAGGAAGGGGGACTTGTGTTTGGGAGCCGGTGGGGAGATTTGGATCCCACCAGGCTTTGACAAGTCCCACAACATTGTGGTAGCAGTGCTGGTAAAGCCCTCAATACCCGAACAAAGCAACGCCCTTCTCGGCTCAGCCAGCTCTGGACAGACTCAAGCTAGAGGGAAGTGCAAGAAATTTGATGTCCATGTTTGATGAGGGTGACATTTGGGACCTCGCTGGCCATCTTCTCTGGACGGCAGCCAATGCAGCAAGTCTTACTAAACCCCTCCTTTATTCTAAGGTGCATGGTTAATGGCGTGCCTTACTGAAGCATTTGTGTCTCTTGTTCCCTCCCCAAAGGCTACTTTCCCACCTGCAAATCCCTTTAGCATTCAAGCAACTTGGCATCGATGCAGGAAGCACAAGCAAAAATCCTTTCATTAAAAGCTCTTGACCCGACAGCGCCCTGACTACATTTTCAAAATCAAGGTAATCCCCACAGAGATGAGAGCAGGTAGCAACCCCAGGATATCCCAGGAGCAGCCTGACCTGTGGATCTGCCATTTGGCCAAGACCTCGCCTTGCCTCCGAGCCACTCACCTGCTTCAGGAGGAAGAGCGAGAGAACCGCACACAGCGTGAAGAATCCTGCCACCACCATCATGATAATAGCCACAGCCAGGTTCCCGTGCAGCTCAGACAGCGCCGCAATCCATCCGCTGCAAGGGAGAGGAGAGCAGGGTGAGCACAGCGAGCATTCAATTCACAGGATGAGATGGAGCAGAGGGAGAAGAGGCACTGATGGTTGCACAGGAGCCTTTGGGGGAAGGTTACAGGGAAGTGCAAACCCAAACGTAACAGCTATGGAAACAGGGACCCAGAGCTCAGCCAGGCACTCGTTTTGGGACCAGAGTTTCCATTATCATGTTTAGAAGCAATCCACCTCTACACACCTCACTCGCATTACAACCCTGGCCCTGGGCCCTCCCCCCTCAAGCAGCAAAATTAATACCCTTGGCACTGCCATAAGGCAAGTCACTTCCACAACCACATTCTCAAAATTCAGCCAGGTCATGTAAAGACAGGGTGGTACCTCTAAATTGGAAGAGATGAGCTGGCAAACCTGGAGCCTAGACCTATATGTCACCATAACAGCTCTCCATGGCCAGGGATCTAAGTGTTGGGAGGTGGAAGAAGACGAAGAAAGGGATTAATTTAGAGCTACAGAAAGGAGGAAACTTTGAAGGGAACGGGCAGGGAGGATGCTGGGAGTTATCAGTGCTTGGCTGTAGGCCAAGCTGAAAATACCAAGATGCCTCACTCAAAACACCCTCCTGGGTGCTGGAAAAGGAATCTTTCCAACTGCTAAACCAAGCAAGCCACATGCCATCAGGAGAGAGGGAATCAAGTGGGCCAAACTGTCCCGTTTGATGGGCCGCACAACTTCTTGCTCGTTACAAGGAAGCAGAAAGGCACACCATGCACTACAGCCAAAAATAAATGCACTGTTTGGCTCAAGGAAACGTTGCAGAAAGCTCAACGCACGCTCTCCAAAGTCAGACTAAAAACGGAGTGCCCCCTCCCAGTCCCCCGTGACTAAGGCAGCACCAGCTAGCAGGGGAGGGAGCACAAGGACAGCTTTGCCCATGAGCCATTCTGCAGGCAGAGGGCAAAAATAGACAGTAGTTTCACTGCACTCCTCACCTGGAGGCTCCCCCTCAGCAGAAAAACCGCTGGCTGTTAACCTTTTCACTGTTCACAGTAACTCTGGAATCTGATCTGCGGCCAACGCAGCAAGGCGAAAAGAGAGCCTGTGCTTTCACCGCAGGGGGCAAGAGGCCTGTTGGACCCACTCCAGAAGCCCAGACTCACCCTTCTGTACAATGCCATCAAGAAAGGGTGGCAGTTAAACCCTCTCCGTTTATTTTTTGGAAGCACAGCTCACCGACAACACACTCGAGAGAAATTCAGGAAGAGTTTGGGGACAGAATCGGGATGCTAGCAGCAGTATCAAGTTAAGCCGCACCCAGACTCGAGGTCAGAGATCCCTCAGCCCCACGCTACAGCCTCTGTCGGGGAAGGCTCCATTTTAACACAAGGCAGATACGGTCAACACTAGAGGCTCAGCATCAAGAAGGGATAAGTATTATATGTACGAAGTGAGGCGGAAGGCAGCAGAGGCGGCGTGGAAGATTTCACATACTCCTTTCAGCGCTGGCCTGCAGCAGCAGCAAAGGTACATGTCTTTGCTGGATCTTGGA